TAACAAACAGTATGTACTGTAGGATATGAATGAATGTGTGTGGCCAGCCACGTGTAGATACATGTACACTAACATGCACGGGCACATGTGTGCCAGTAGTAAAATTACTGGCATAGTGCGTGTGAGTTCCATTACTTCCAACCTCGTCTTCATGGTGTTGAGCAGTACATGTACTTCTGAAGGCTGTCTCCTGTGTTGGAATTAAAATACAACTTGGGACAAGAATGTGGCATGCTGCATTGATTAGTCTCCATTCCAGCATAAATTTCATTTTTATCCTGGAAATTTGAACAATAGAGTAGTATTTTAATCCGTGTTTTCAAACTTGACATACATGTACATGTGTGTGGAGGTCAGTTGGTAAAAGGGCTACCTGTAGATGCACATTTTGCTGTGGTTTCGACTGGTCTTGAGGGGAAGACCTGAGACTTTGACATCTGAGACCAAGACTGAGACCAGCACTTCTGAGACCGTGATCACCCTTTTCGAGACCGAGACTTAGGCCACCAAAAAAGGTCTCAAGACCTACAACACTGAGCAGTATTTCCAACATTCTGTTCAATGGGCATTGATTTCAGAACAAGACTTGGTATCACAATTAAACTGCAGTGAAGTTTGGCCATCGTAAAGCAACCCCAAAACCCTTTTATAGCTACATTGAAAAGATTTAGTCCAATTTGCAGAGCTATCAAACAACTAGATTGCTTTGAAGTTTAGACTGTGCAGCATACTCTTACTGTGCAGCATACTTACTTAGCATTTCCTGGAAGGTTACTTAGCTGCAGAACATTTTAATCATTTAATTTTCTTGGACAAGGACGATAACGGCTCTTACAATGGCTGCTGTTTTTCAAACAGTTGCTGAATTACCTCCATCTGCCATATTGAAAAAGTTTTCATCTTTTCTTTGTGGGAACCAGACAGAAAATCTTGCAGTTCTCTTACAGTTAAGTCTGTTACTACTTTCTAAAACAAAGTTGTACATTTCTCGTTTAAAACTTGTTAAAAGTTCAGCAATGATGAGCCTTAACCAAATGCGATGAGCTAGTCAAATCATTTTCACTTTGTTCAGCGCAACTTACGACACCTAAAATGACTGTGTAAGTTACACCATAATTTGTTGAGCAAGTCGGTGATTTATGCAGTACATAAATCTTGTGAAATCTCTGTGAAGCTGTTGCGCAACATGTGTAATAAATGTGGCTTAAGTGACATTACACTGTTGCGTAAGGTTTCGTGAAATTGGATACCGTATTTCCTTATCCAGGCTAAAGAGCATTTGTTCCACAAGTGTGAGTGGGAAAAAGAAATCCATGAATACGACAAACAAACTGTGTGACAATTTTTACGGGCTACAGTTGCTATGTCCCTTTTTATCAGATTGGTATAATCTGTATGACAAATTTACTTGCAAGTATTACGCAATGCAGAACATCATCCTACTATTGATATGGATCAACCAATCATTGTTTAGAATCTACATTTGTTTGAGGGTGGTGTCTCATAACATTCTATTGATTGCAATGTGTATTCCAGGAAATTTCGGTCGATATCAACAGGAAGTGAGGATCCTGATTCTGATGATGATACCAGATCCAGTAGCCCGGTGTTTGGTGCTAGTTCAACTTGTCATCATAGTGAACAACAGAAACTTTCAGGTATACTGTAGTTACATGTTTGTCCCTGCTATATTGACCTTTGGGAAATTGTACAAGAAATAAACATCTTAATACATTTCTTTCTTTATGCTTTGTCAGTGAGAGAAATGTGTTAACATCAGGTATCAAGGATATCATAAACTGGCAAGTGAATCATTAACCACTTGCAGATGATTTGTTTCCCTGAAGAATCAGACCTTTGAAAAAGGCCAAGTGCCAGTATATCAACCCATATACATGTAGCAAAACACCAGGGTGGAGTAAGGTTGGGTAAATGGTTTGCATGCATAGTTTATAACTTGCTCCCCTTTGTTATGCTTACTAAGGTATGAAACAGAATTTGATTTTTTTGAAGCAGAATCCAGGATTTTGCAAAATGGAAAATACCTATTTTCAAAACAGAAAATCATCATTGGCTCTAAATTATCGGAACAAACATAAAAAAAAACCCAGCATGCTCAAATGGGAGTTTCCTCCTTTATAAGACACAAGATCAAATTAGATTTCGAGTGAATTGTGTGTGGTTTATTTTTCACGAACAATCCAACTGCCAAACCATGGTTTTCAATGTATTCAAAGAAAAACCTTAATATCAAGTCAGCATTCTTTCCCAGGACGACACCCACATGGCCAACATTATCAATGAAAGGGAAATTGGGCCACCGCGTGAACCAACTCTTGTCGCACACTGGAGCGCTACACCGGCGCGACCTACCTGGCAAAATCAGTTTTCCTTTTGGAGTTGCCTTTGATCGAGTCCGACTGTAATCAGCATCCAATCAAAATAACTCAACTAACTCAAATACTTTTTTTTCCTTGTTTGAATGGAATCAGGTACCAGTGCATGTGGTTCATTCAAATTCAACAAAACCCTCAACCTGGCCTCAACTTTTAAGTGGTCTCCTATTCAGTACACTGCTCTGCCAAGTAGTTCAGAGTCAGACACAGACGCAACCACACTGGACAGCAATTCTAACAAAAGCTCCTTGAACAAGGCTGGATTAAGTGAATTATATTCAGAGAGTCCACCTCCAACAGTAAGGAGAAAGAGGAAAAGGAGACGGATTTTGTCTGAAGGTCAAGAGAGCATCGATGGAGGTTTTGAGGAAGAGAACATTGAGACAAAACAGAAGGAAGACATCATGAAACTACAAGAAATGTTTCCTCAGTTGAAAGCCAAGGTAAGTCTAAGTCCATCTGTCTTGAGCAGAAGCACTCCCTCATTGGTTAAATAGAGCCAGGTTAGTAGCGACACGACCGTAACATGTATTTTGAAGTCCTCTGTGAACCAGTGAAGTGCATTTCTGACCAAAGGTGCCTCCGTTGCTAGGAAAATTCTGCTCTTTCTTTGTCATGTTCACTTTCTCATCCTGATTTTCTTGTGCACCCTTTACCATGTATACTAATAAAGCATTCACAAAAGAAGAATATCCTCTCTCTCATTGAATGAAATTTCTTAAAATGTAAATAAATATGGACATACAGTACATGTACATGTATTATTTCTGTTTTAAGAATTCTAAAATGGATATGAGATCTCAAAGTAACTTAGGCTATTTTGCTTCATGATACATGTCTGCATATTACATACAGAACCTGATGTACTCATTCTTCACATGCTAATAATAATAATAATAAGAGCATTTGTAGAGTGCTGGTATTCACCTCAAAGGCACTCATGGTGCTGTATTATCATTATCCCTGCACATTGGGCACACACATCATCTCAACATTCCCAAAAACCATCTCAGCTCCCTGGGGAGTATACTAGCCTGGTGCTGCCATTTTGGTGCAAACGGCAAAACTACCATATCTGCCCTCACAGGTACCCATTTACTCCTGGATGGAGAGAGGCGCATAAGGGTAAAGTGACTTGCCCAGGATCACAACATGCTGCCACTGGCTGGATTCAAACCCCTGACCCTATGATCTGAAGCTACAAACCCTAACCACTAGGCTACATGCCTCCACAGCTAAAACTTATTCTAGTACAGTAACCTGAATAGAATAGGAACTTGCTCCATCGTTGTGTACATTTATGCATCCTTTTTTTGCGACTGCTTTTGTTCATACCATGTACATGCACCTCAAATGTTTTTAATTTCCCAAAATTGCATTTGAAAATGTACAACATACCTTTACAAGTTCTTTGCATTGTTTAATTTATTTTCCACTTTAATTAAATTGTAAAATAAATAACAGAGACTTTTATAAACTTGGCTCTAACAGCCATCTGTGCTTTCAACTTACATGCTTTTTGACAGAAACTGAAGGATACCCTGGTATCTGTAGATTGGTGTGTGAAGGAAGCAGCATCTGTTATAATTGGTCAAGACATTGATGACGGTCAATCAGGTACTGTATTGGACTTGAACTATCATTTTTGTCAGGGAAGTGGAGATGATGAAAGCATAACAACCAAATTTTAGCAGTTCTAGACAGGGTTATTTACTTGGAACTGCTAAACAAATATTTTCTTTGCTAAGCAGAGTGATTTGCTAGCAAATCTGCTGAGCAAAAGTGGCCTTCCAGCTAAAATGGAATGCATTTTACTAAGTACTTACGATTCTGGAGGGCGTTTTGGAAGTTGAATTTTTTTCCTCCACAGTATTGCTACAACAGTACAATTATCAACAAATTATACTGTGACCATTGTGACAGTCATTTGAAGTTCAAGGCTGCAATACACACATGTACATACAGCCTGCATGCATTGAGCACTGCAGTGGAAAAAGTACACACGCATTTTTGGCTGACCTGTCTTGGAAAAAATAGGTGCTGTGCAAGAACAGTATGTTCAATTTTCACAAAATTGGTGTCAAAAGGACTGCAAAGGATTACGTTAAAGGCTTGGCTCCTAAAAAAATCTATGGCAATACCAGGAAAAATGTTGTGGGTGATGGATTCCAACCCCCCTCCCCCATCCCCAGCTCTTTTAGGGATGAAGACTAAACAAAGAAATAAGCAAAATTTAAAAGAGGGACTGTTTTTATCGTGTGTTTCAATTGATTAAGTTACTGATTAATCACCCACTTTTAACGAGCCGTTACAAACAAGAAGTGCATCCAAATTACTTGACAATGAACAAAATTAAAGAGCACCTCCAAATAAAATGTATGTGTGTTCTCTCTGAATTTTACCTGTTTAAATGAAGTGTCCAAACCGAGCGCAATAATGCAGGGTTCCAGCTGCTGTTCGCCATTCTCACCAATTGGCGAATGATTATAATTTTGGCTATTATTCCATTGACCTGGTGAGAAAAATTGGTGATTATTTTGCAAATTTAGACAAATCTTACCACTTGTTCGTCACCGAAATGTCATAGCAGTATAAATAATACTAATAACATGAATACTATTAATTTCCAACTTTCACAAAGAGTTCCCATTCACTTTTGCTGTCGCAGTGTTGAAAACACATGTGCAAAGGTCACTGCATTAAACGAAGCTGCTTTGGTTCCAACTGCGCTGCGCACATACAAAAGAACGCGTGATGGAAATGAAGCAACCAAAACCAGTCTATACTGTGTGTGTACTCTACATTCCGGTCGATTACTCTACATCAGCCGTACACGTATATTGTATGCAACCCTAAAGCTGCAGGTCGAAAAAAGCATCGATATTGCAAGAGGTTTTCTGCAAGTTAATTCACTGACCTTGGTCTCTTATTTATGTATGTATTTTCTGTGTTCCAGTGTTGTAGTACTCGTACTCGGTACTTGTACTCGAGTACTACTCGAGTACCGTTTTCAGAGTACTGGTACTTGTACACGGACGTTCAAGTACTCGTACTCGAACTACAGTTCTTGTACTCGGGCTACAAAATACTTGGAACTCGACATCCAAAAATTGTACTCGAGCATCAAAGTATTCGTACTCGATTAACAGTACTCGATAAAAAAATCCTTTAAGTTAACTTACCATGCACGGCCGTTAAATAAGGTACAAAAATATCGACTCCAATGACCCAATATTCGATACAGTTCTGACAACGAGAAGGCCGAACGTGGGACCATTAAGGCATATGACCCATTCGCCGTCTGTGCGCGTACTTAACCAGTCACGTACGCAAATTATATTGTGGTACTCCAGAATGGTTCCACGATTTACTTTGGCATTGGTAGTCTGGTTCCTGGACCCAAAAATTTTAACAACGAACCCAGCATACAGAAAATCACAGGCATGTGAATAATTGAGTCTGGAAAATAGACTTCGTCACGCCGTGCACGTTGTGTCAACTGCTGCAACACACTTGTAGTGACAGTAACATTGCTAGCCATGTCATTGCTGTTCTTGTAGCCGTGCCATCTGCATTCGGTGTTTCTTTTACACAGTGGCACGTCTTAAGAGTCTCTAAATTAAGATAAAACTACTTTTGAATTAGAAGTACTCGTACTCGGAATTAGAAGTACTTGTACTCATACTCGGAAATGCAAGTACTAGTACTCGGAAACCAGTACTTGTACTTGGCTGGCAAAGTACTCGCCCTGTCTTTGTACTCGGAAGTCAAAGTACTCAACTACAACACTGCTGTGTTCATGAGTTTAATTTGAGGTTGTTTTGCTCGTACTTGAAGCAAGCGTGTTTCGATAAATTTCCTTTTTATCGCCCTCTGGTCTGGATGCATGACGCACGCTTATCACGCGATGTACATGGACATTCTTGGCCAGTTTGCCGTTGTGATTGCCTAAGTAGGACTTTGTGAATTGTCCCTAATTCTTGTGAATTGTTGACTGTAGAAATTTTTACATACATGTAGATTAAGACAGGTGTTCATTACTTTTTGAGATAATTTTGGAAGTTGTCATCCCTATTCATGCCTTTCAATCAGCACAAAAAATTGGCCCAAAACAAAAAAAAAATTTTTGAATTATCGACCGAACTGTTTGTGTAAGTAAGCCTTACTATTTTTGTGGCCAAATGAAAGACTACGGGCATGCAGAAGGCCTAAGTTAAATAGCCATAATAATCGTGGATTCCGAAAAATCTTGGGCAAGTGTTGATCCGATTGGGGCAAGCAAATTTATGGCTTTGCTCGATCGGGCGAGCTAAAAAAAAATTTGTTGTGGTCAGAGTCCGGTTGAGCTTAGGCCCATGAACAGGTATGCATGAGCTTCACATGTACTTGCGTTGTACTTCATAGGCCTTGAACATGAATAGTATGCTTATTCTCCGCATAATTTGTGCTTGCGTTATATAAAATGGTGCAACCTCAAACCTGACACACTGGATACCTTGATAAGGGTTGCTGCCGAAGATCTTCTAAGAAGTGTGTGTTTGATTTCCATTGGACATTCAAACTGTGGTCTGATGAGAAACCTAGAGGAATTCTTGGTATCTGAATCATTCATACATGTATGTGTATGTATTCTTTACATGTACTTACCTTGGAAGTAACTTCCAGCAAAACATGTGAAATATGAGATGAACAGGACATAGTTTTGACAAAATGTTAGTCAGTTTATAATTGATCCATTTGAAAAGCAGATCACACAAACTAAAATGAATGGTACGGTACGGTACGGTTTTGGGAATTGTACGGCAGGATGGCTCTAAAATCAAACATTTGGCTACAATGTTAGCTATTAATTGAAGTTTTCCCGCTGGAACCCTGAATAATGTTTGTCTTTACAACCAACTCAGAATACTCTTAAGAGTGATTTTTTCTGTGTGCGCCAAGATGTGAATTCTGAAAGATGTAATGGTCAGCCATTTGTTTATACATGTACATGTACAACGCCATTGAGGAGAAAACAGAAATGAGAGAAACCCAAACAGGTACCACGTATATTTCAGAGGGAAATTATTAACCGCGCATGTCCCATTTTTAGGGTCATTTGCATACATAATGAGGGCCGTTAGAATTCGTGCCAGGCAAGCAGCTGCTTCATTTCATGAAATTTACTTCCTATTTTCACTTTTTGAAAATAAAAATTCCTGCCCAAAAATATTATTATGGTAAGATAAGGTCTTTTCCTAACTTGTTTCGTGAAAATAACATTAAGAAATACGAGCAAAGTGGTCAAAACTAGTGATTTTGTGAAAAGCTCTTTTTGTAAGTGGTAGTTTGTTTACGTTAAAATTGATGCGATTTTTGAAGGCTCAAAACAAAAGTAAGTTTTCCTTAAGTTTTCAAAAAAGAGCTGTGGTGGAGAAAGGTGTAAAGGTTTTTTTAGATTTACTGACACTTTTTCGCTAGATTTTTTTCTCTTCCCTACCGGACTTGTTTGCATATTGACCTAATTCAACGCCCATTCCGTTTATTCCACATAATCTTATGACCTTACAAGTATAAGAATTCATTGACTCGAGAACGAAAGGCGAACACAAAAGTACAGTAAGTTCACATGAAATTAACAATAAATAAATTAACAATTAAATGAATTAACATTATTGAAACCGAGGTCTGTCATAACATTTCCTAGAAATGTTGAAATTCAGGGTATATACCCAGTTTTACATGTACTGTACATTCATGAGCCACATGAGCATGTACCCAGCTCTGACACATAATGTCCATGTACACGTTCATGTATACATATGTACATGTATGTCAGTACGGGTGTAACAAGTCACATTGTACCGTGCACAGTACGTAGCTGGATTGGTTTTTTGTAAAAACACTTAGATTGCGCTGCCCAAAAGTGTTAGAAATAATTCATTAAAGACGAATGAAAAAATCCAGCTACAGGTAGATAAAAATGATTGTTTTGTGTAGTTGAGATTCTGGCCTATCGTATGCAATGTCTCATTGTTCTGGGAAAACTTCTAAAAATTAGTCTGTAGTGAGAATTTGTTATATACATGTACATTGTATTTTAGATGCGACAGCTCATCATTTATTTTGCAAGTCAACCCCCTGCTTGTTTAGTGAGGGAGTACACACAGAGGAATAACACTTCTTTGCATCCTGTGTATGCATTCAGTACATTCCAGCCTAAGCCACAAACTTCCCGAGATCCATGCATGTCCAGATCAGAAATTAGCTATGGCAGAATCTCACAGTAGTTGGGAAGATTTAAGCAAGTATTCAGTGGAACTTAATGACGAAGAGTGAGAAGAGTCAGCAAGTGATTATGACTCACCTGACTCCCAGTCAGACAACAAAGGGAACACCGGGGAACTGAGGAGCCATACCGCTTTTAACCCGAGGCCCCTGTCTTGGTGGAGGATGTGGTACATGGTCGCCGAGTAAATTCCGCACAGACAGTATACAGCTTATTTATTCATTTATAAACAAAGCGCTCTAAAGGCCTTTGAAGAAACCATTTCTGAATACAGAGGTAATAGAGTAACCCATCCTACCCTGGCCCTTTCTCTTTTCCGAAATGCTTCTCCGGACATGCCGGATCGCTACCATGTCTACCTTGGAGTCAGAACATTTGTGACAGGGTAGGAAGACTTCAACATCGGGACAGAGCCTTTCTTCAGTCAAAACTGAGATTTCAAACCCAACAGAATCTTCAGTACAATTGATTCATCAGTACAATTTTCTGCAAAGTGTTCACCGCACATTGGAGACCACTTGGCAACTTAAAATCTGGCCATGTGATGTGGTTGACAAAGTGGACCCACTTTCAAGTGTCTTCAAATCCCTCTTTGGAAACCTCAGAAAATTATCTTCAGGATTTTAAGGCAATTCCGAGAACATCCACTGATCACGCAGGATTTCGGCATGTTCATTATTTTGAATAATGCAACAAAACACGAAATTATATCAGGGAAATAGCTAAGTATATGTAGCTGTCAATATACATGTAACAAATGTACATGACATGCCCGTCATGGGGGTGGTCAAAACAATTATTGTGCATCTACATGTATGTGTACGTGTACAGTACTTGTATTTGAAAAATGGTTAGCTTAAAGAGACCTTTCAGTCTTGAATAGAAATTGTGGTTGAGTGCTTTGGACGGTTAATTTATGTGGTACCATTCAACATGAGTATCATGAGTTCATCTAGAACTTTCTATGGTTTGTCACAGAATATGGTTCAGAATTCACAGGCAGCCATGTCATTTGCTAATTCTGTCTCGTAACAAAAAGAAACAATAATAAGAATCAATGTATTGGTTGAGGATTCTTCTTCATTATTAAGAAAGCCTTTTTAAAACTGAAATGCATTTTGTAGAAATATTAGTAGAGCCAGTGATTTTCCATTTCAAAAATGGGTATTTTCCATTTTGCCAAATCCTGAATTCTGCTTCAGAAATTCAAATTCCGTTTCATATCTTCGTAAGCATGAAATAGGAGAGTAAATTTTAAACTATGCTTGGAAACCATTTGCCCAACCACTCCCAACCCCCCCCCAAGAAAAGAAACAAAAATAGCAACAATACTCTTTGGGAATATTCTGCAATATTTCTGACTTTTTTTTATAATTGTTGTTATGGAAATTAAAAAAATCCGGACAATAAATACTGCACACCCCACCCCTTCATTTCCCACCGGCGCGGGATCGCCTAAAACTTGCTACGATTAATCAACGGACAATTCATGTGCCATTCCTTGTGTATGAAATCAGATTACATACATGTACAGTGAAGTCACAGAGTAGGTCTTGCATGTAACAGTCGTTGGTCACAATATGTTAATGTTAATGACATCGGCCATTTTATTTGGCAGTTGTATGACAAAATTCAGAAAGTTTACATTAAATCTGAGCCTTAAAATGTATTTTTGTGACTGAAAACTTCACTCTGTATTGAACACTTCCAAGGGTCCATTCAGCTATGGTACACCAAGCTTACTAGGTTTCGTTTTCAAGAAATATGAAATTAGTCTTCCATTTCGCTGCCACAGTTTCATCGTTTCGCCATGCGGTACTAGCCTTGTCTCAAGGCATCCATGCAGATTCACAGACTAAATTCCCCACGTGTGCAGTGTGTGTATGTGTGAGTAAGAACTTGTTTGCGCCTTGATTTCATTGCTAATATGGTGCACGTGTGAACAGCCAATGTTTGTATACGCAATGTATCGTACCACGCCGCTGCTGTGCCAGCTGCCGCTGCACGACTTACCACTTACAAGTATCGGCACTGGCTCAGCGCGGATGACCCAGTCATGCGGTGGAGTGGTGCAATTTAGCATGTTTCCAACGTATTTCGTTAATTAAAAGCAAGTATTTGAAAAGGGTTTGGTAAGCATTTATTTTTTAGTACTTTGCAGAAAGTTTTCTTTACTTTTTAAGCCATTCTTAGTGGGAAATTTCTGTTTCAAGCAGTGGATTCCATTTCAAAGTGTTGATTCCGCAAATTCCGTCCGTTTTCCGCGATCGCGGAAAATCATTGGCTCTATATCAGATACAAATGTAAATTCTTTATTTCTTTGAATGTTGTTGGTATGGTCACATAAAATTTTTTTTCTACATGTATCACACCATCTCTGTTAAGATCAAAAAGATTCACCTAAAGGAAGAAGGGTTCAGAAGAAGAAGCGTCGCAAGGTAGAGCACCTGTCTGACAAGGAAAACAATCAACGTTGGCTGTCCAAGTCCAAAATGACTTCATATTTCCCAAAGGTGAGTTGATAACTCACTTCATGTTGATTCTGGTCTTAGTGTACAAGACATTTCTGTCTGTGCTCAGAGTAAGTCTTCAATAGAGCAGTTGGTCTTTCTGCCAGTCGTATCTTGTAGCTCTATTACAAAATTGCATCTCAAGTGTTATATTAATATCCACAAGAAGAAGAATGGTGTAAATGTAGTATTTGGACCTTGCATTTGGGTATGATGATCAACTTGACCAACTTTTGTTGGTATCAGAACATTGAGAGGTCCTGGCTGCAAATTTCCATTACATGTATGTTACAGGTGATTGCATGGCAATGGTACATTCCTTAGGACCTGAAGCTGACAGAAATTGATCATTTGGAAACATTTGTCGGTCTAACTCTAACTCTCCTCAATCCTCCTAAATCCTTCGGGTGGTTTTGGAGGATTTTGGAAGATTGACGTCAATGGCAAAAGTGCATGGCTGATTGTGAAGGATGCCACGAGTGAAGGTCGTGGGTTAGACCTTGTGTTGTTTTTGCTCAGTCGTATATAAATTCAGTCCGATATTTCTTTTGGATCAAACCGTACTGCTCAAGAATGCCATTTGCACTGCCCCAACATAATGACAGGAATTCATTCATCCATTTGTTATATTTATTCTGTCAGCATTTAAACATACAGAAAATTGCCCGAGGATTTTGAAGAATTGAGGCAGTAGGCACACCTTGAAGTAACATTTTTAAGAAATTTTGGTGGATTGAGGAAGAGTCCAATGTTTTCACCCCCCAAATTGGAGGATTCTGGAGGAGTGAGGAGGGTCCCCAGTAAAAAGGGCCAAGGGAGTTAGGGCTAAAGCATCAGGTTTAATAAAATGTGAACTGCACAAATTGGTGCTGTAAAATGTACATGAAAAATGAATTTAATCAAGCTGAAATGTTTCATTCTCATTGCTTTTGCTATGACACGAGTATTGCATTTGTGAACGAAAAAATTGATCTCTTGAATTTAAGGTTGCCCCAAACTTGTGCACTTGCCCTACAATATTGTGTAGAGTAGAATGACCATACCGGTATGTACATGTATATATGAAGAAATGTGTGGGCAATGGAGCATTTGGTGATGGCATTATTCACTTTGAATTGGTCAATGCATTTGTTAGTATGAACTTCCAAGTAATGTTGTCAGTTGTCTTAATTAATCAGTGGTCAGGAATTGTAATCATCTTGGAGCACTGAGTATGCATTTTGTTTTTTAGATAACAAGGCCAGGACAACAAATCAGTAAGTTGAAGCAGAGACGTCCAGATAAGGAAATATTGAGTAGTGAAGACGAGACATTCTCTTTGAGTAGTGACGACTCTGATGAAGATGCCTCGTACGACAAAAATGGTATGGTCCCTTTGCAGTGTTTCATTGTAGATTTCCTTTGTCATAATTCCATTCTTCCGCACTATGAAATTTCTGAGTAACAAATGTTTCTAAATTTGACTCTAATCTGCACATCTGTTTGGTTGGAAGTTATGTGACTGATGAACTATCCAGTACCCAGTACACGTAGATTGCACATTACGTATATGTCACAACTGCACCAATCTACCTGTATAGTTTTTTGGTTTTAGTTTTAAAGGTTGGTGGTTTGTTTTGTTGTTTTCTGATAGACAGACATGCATGCACAGCATACCGTTTGGTACACTTACATGACTTATGTGAGGAGGCCATGTTTTCTGCATAATCAACCCCCCAAAAAAGAGAAAATTTAACCAATGCATAAACAACCAGAGGAACTGTGTCTATTTCAAGGGCAGAACACGGCTTTTTCACCTTGTTGCCGTTGTGAAAAAAGTGCTTTGTTGGCATAGCACAAAATGTTTGAGAATGTTCATATTCATACACTTACATATATAGATTTTGACCCCAAAAGATGTGCTTCAGAAGATACAGTTCTTTGAAAACTGCGTAGTTAATGTCACACAACTTGTCCCATGATGACGCCATCATCATGTGAGGGCAACATGCGTGGAAATCACTTCCCTTTCAAGATATCTCCAAGGTTTTAGCCCAATCGAAAATGCACCTTTAATGTCACGTGACTTGTCACAAGATGACATCATCATCACATGAGGTGAATTTTTTTCCGAAGCACTCCTTTCTAAAATATGCAAGGTTTGAACCCAATCGGACTTGTAATTCACAAGATAAAGTGCGTTGGAGAGTGCACATTTAGTGTCACATTATTTGTCACATGATGATGTCATCATATCAGGTCAATACTCGTCTAAAGTACTCCCCTCCTAAGATCAGACGTGTACTTAACGAGATGTAGTGCTTTGGAGAGTGCACCTTTAATCGCACGTGACAAGATCATCTGATGACGTCATTATGACATCAATTTTCATTTATAACACTTCGCCTTGTAAATACATGCCAAGTTTGAAGCCAATCAGACATGCACTTCAGGAGATATAGCACTTCAAAGGATGTACCTTAAATGCCACGTGACTCATCTGCTGATGATACTGTCATCACCTGAGGTCAATCTCCATTCATAAACCTTCCTTTCCTAACTATCTGCAAAGTTTCAACCCAATCAGGCATGTACAATACAAAATATTATTGTTATTACGGAAAGAGCGCAGATTAGAGACTGAAAACATTTATCCCTTTTGGCGTTCTATACAACGCGATCTGCTCTTGGCATCATGTGCTTGGCAACTTTCCAATATGCTGCCTATGTTTTAGGTAGATTTTGTGCTTCCACATCACAGACATATAAACGCATAGACTGCCAGGTCCTATTCAAAACTTTAGGGGGTTTTCGTGATCTGCACTGACTAAAATCAAAACAATCATTTTTATAGATGGTTGCAGTTCTGCAGAAAATTGATCAGGGGCAACATTACATTGATCATGTTTTTACATGTTCCAACTGTCCATCTCCAAATATTTACCATTATTATTCTGAGAGTTGTCATCTTGATTTTGTCAGGTGAGGAGGATGAAGAGCAGACTGAAATGAATCATCTCATCGTGTCTTTCTTCAATGATGCAACACCAGAGGAGTTACTAAGCATTAGTCAGTGCTCTAAGGCTAAGGTCAAGAAGATTGAAGCTTTGAGACCATTTGAAGACTACAGTGACCTAGTGAGTCAGTCATGTTATCAAACTAGTGTCTTGCCTGCATTCTCTTGCAGTATTATTTAAAAGTTACTCAGGTAAACTCACTATTTTGGATAAACATTCCAACAGTAAACTAGTGGCTAATCTGTGAGTTAATGTTGCAAGGGGTCTGAAATGTCATGGAAATTGATTCAAGATTTTATTAAAAGTTTTAAAGATTTTCAATGAGTCAAAATGTGGATTTTTGTTTTTTAGAAAATAATGTAATTAATCCTTAAAAATTCCCTAGATTGTTAATCTTCAAATGAAAGATCCTTTACAAGTTTGGGGGAGAGAGGTTTAGTCCAGGCATTGTTTGACAATATGGTGGTTGATGCACCAAGAGTGTCATAGGAATCCTGCACAGTGGAGGATTTAGAAGAATTCTGGAAACTTACTTGTAGGAATGTCTGGAGAGATACAGTTCAGTTTTTAAACGTGTTTCATCTTGAGTGGTTATTAAGCTATTCTGACAAACTTTTTCCAACATCAGCCATCCTGCTGCAACAAAAGTACTTGTGGATGGGTTGTGTGCGATCTCCTTGCCTTTAAACCCATGCACACAGTTACAAGCTCAAACCAGTGTGCACATGTGGTACATAAACCTTAGCTGCAAAACCAAGTATTAGGTTTCATTTTAAGGTGTCAGGGTGCCAGCATTCTTGATTTGGTTATGAACATGTTGCATAATACCTCTTAATGTTGACAAAGTGAAAAAATGGGACAGATATTAGAAGTCAAACACCATTGAGTGCATACCCAGACAAATACAATGCACTTTCTGACTTGTAAACAATGAGGTGCATGTATGTACATGTACATCATGTGCATGCCATGCCACTGATATGTTTTCACTTCCAAGTGTAACTTCTTTATGCCAGATGATGTTTAAGGACACATGTACATGTGTAGATACATGTGGAAGGTTTGTATGATGAGGTGTCAGAGTGGATTGCTATTGGTGCTCGCTGGAGTGTGGCCTTGTGGCCCAAGGAGCACACTACCTGATACATTCAATAACTGGTTCTATGCAGAAACAACACTCACTGAAAGAGACCTATGATGTGTTGTGATGATAATGAGTGCATAGTGTTGGGATGGTAATCTACCTATTCAATTATATATAATAAGCACTGTAT